ATGGAGACTCGAGATTCAAGAAGATCAGAGAAACTCAAAATTTCGACCTGAGAAAACCGACAGGGATAGGGTACAGAGCCAAAATGTGGGGCCATAAATTGATACTGGAAATTACTGTTTCTCAGAACACACACTCTGAAAATTGGCATGACTTCAGGAGCACTCTGGATTGAGAAAACATGTTCTTCTGCTCACATTTCCCTGAAACAGCTGAGAAAAGAACATTATCCTGAAACTCTATTCTTTTTGGCTTGTTCAGTAATGGGCACAGGGAGAGCCAGAAAGGCTAGCTCTTAGTTCTGTGTGATGCTCCAAGGGATGCCATTCATTCATGTAAAGTTAGACACATTCCTTTGTGTTTGCACCACTGATAGTCTCTGGAGGAAAAGGTCAAAAAACACTTACCGCTGTGTAATTGTACATCATGATGGCTCACAGACTCTTCCTTTGCATAAAATCAGAAAACATTTCCCATTCTACTACTACAGGAATATTTTACATTTTTAAACATTTGCCAGTTAGGTCACTCTGACGTAAGGAAATATTCTATCATATAAATATAACATGAAATGTATCAAGTCAGATTGGTTTTAAATGAACCATGCTCAGAATGGTTATGAAATATGTAAGCTTAATGAAACATGTTATGCTAAAACTGCTTAGGTTCACTCTCAGGTAGGGGTGACCCAGACTAAGCAACTGTTGATCGACCTGCTTTATTAGAATTGTGTCTCTTAGCATTGAACTTGACCTGCAAATAGTGCTGTCAATTACTGTGTATGAAAATGTATCTGCGTAATGCCAAGAAACCATTGTTTATTTGATTGTGCATGAGATCGCAATTATCAAAGGCTTAAAAAAAGAGACCGAGACGAAGATGAGGAAAAATAGAGGAGTTTCAATCAATGTCCTGCAGGTGCGCACAGGCAGGAGCTCGAGAGCGACAAGAGTACGCGCGTTCACGCAGCTCTGACGCTTGTTTGGAAGTCAAAGAGGCAGCCGAGAGTACAAGCTTGGCACCAGAGAGTCGCGAGCTCAGGAGAGAGAGAGCGTTCACGAGTGATGGGCAAGGGCACTTCGGTTCATTACCACGACTTGAAAAAGACGAACAATTTGTTTCTTAAAGGGATAGTTCACTTTGAAATTAATTTTTGATATGTTTTAGCTTACCTCATGGGCATCCACGATGTAGGTGCCTTTGTTTCCACAGCATTTTCAATTTTGACAATTTTTGGTCAAACCGTTGTTGTCTGTCAGTCCTATAATGCAGTTTTAGGGGGTCCACCTCAAAGAGCATGCACAGACTCAGATAGCAAACTGACATTGAATCAACGTGGAAATATGACATAGAAACAACGTTGATCTGAATAGTTTTGCTCATCGAATTAACGTTGAACCAACGTCAGACGCGTCATTCTTTCAAAACTAACGGAAAATCAACTTAAAATCAACGTGTTGTTTCAACGTTATGAAAGCAAACCAATTTTCGATTTTCATTTAGCTTTGAAGAATGCCGCGTCTGACGTTGGTTCAACCAACGATGAGCAAAATCAACGTTGTTTCAATGTCATGAGAGACGTCGTTTCCACGTTGATTCAATGTCAGTTTGCCTGGGGAGAAGTCAAAATTAAACATGATTAAATGACTCGTGAATGTTTAATGACTTGTGAAAACTAAACATTAGATATATCGAAATCGTCTTCCATTGCGATTTCCCGTTGAAGGTAAAACTTCCGAAATCTCCGTGTAAACAATGCGTGACGCGAGAGATCACTTCCGGAGTAAAGTCTGGAGACGGTTCAGTTCGGTTCAGTTGGACATCTGATTCATTTCAGTTCGACGGCTGTTAACAAGAGGTAAAAACTATATAAATACTGTTCGTTTTATCACACAAACCACCCGTTTCGTGTCTTAGGCCAGCAATACATTTACGAGTCATTAAATCATGTGTAATTTGGACTTCTCTGTCTTTGAGGTGGACCCCCTAAAACTGCAAATGACTGACAGACGACACCGGTTTGACCGAAAAATGTCAAAATTGAAAATACTGGGAAACAAATACACCTATGGATGCCCTTGAGGTAAGCTAAAACATATCAAAAATTAATTTCAAAGTGAACTAAGTGAAGTTAGTGAACTATCCCTTTAAAGAATCGGCTCTCAGCAATTAGCCTGACTACGTCACATGTAATTGCGTCATTAAGTGTTCCCTGACATCCAATTCGGTTAATTAATACATTTAATTGATTAAAGGTTGATTTATTATCATTAGGTAAATTAATTAAGTAAGTAGAGATCTGACTCGTTCACGAATCCAAAATAGTTATGTTACATTAAGCTCATAAATATTTTACGCTTGGTTTGTTGAATCATTTAAACTGCATTAACTCATTTGCCAGTCTTTAAAAGTCCATGCAATAGCTGGATAAGAGTGACAGCAAAACTGACATCTGGTTAATGCGTGTCGTGTGTATCTCTGGCAAAATCAGTAGCCTATGTTCCAATATAAACATGTTATGATATTTGTCTGCTCTGCGCACGCAGTTGCACAGATCCACTTCAGCAGGTTTAGCACGAGTAAAGAATGCAGAGGATGGAGGAGGTGCTCACGTGCTGCAAATTTGGCCAATGTTGATGCCCCGGTTCACAGAGTGACGTCGTCTCATCGACCAATCCGCTTAATTCTTTATGCCTTAACAAACCCAGTTCGGTTGCTATATAAACACATTGACAACAAGCTTCCAGCACAGATCTGTGGGAGAATCGAATGCCCTGAAATTAATCTTAACATCGGTATCCAATATGAAGGCAGTCAGTCCGGTGAGGTCCATAAGGAAACCCGCCTTGTATTTTTCGGAGCATAATCTCGGGATCTCACGGAGCAAGAGCTCCTCGGACGACCCGCTCAGTCTACTGTACAACATGAATGACTGCTACAGCAGGTTGAAGGAGCTCGTGCCGAGTTTACCGCAGAACAAGAGCGTAAGTAAGATGGAGATCTTGCAGCATGTCATAGACTACATTCTGGATCTTCAGATCGCACTGGACCAGAACCCGCAACAGCAGGTCCACGGACAGAACCCTCCAAAAATGAGCGTCAGATCACTCGGAGCTGATATCAGCATCATCACCTTCCAGGTAACGTTAAAGCAAGTTTGTATTAAACATTTCCTGGAGGTAAATATCAAAGTGAATTGATTCATATTGGCGATTAAATAACCGATTTAAGAAAAAGAAATACATACAAATAACATCTGAATGACAATTGAAATGTATGCTGCAATGGGATTCCCGCATTAATGTTGCTCATTAAAAAGCATATGCTATAACACAGCTTGAAATGTAGCTGGCAGCTCCACTGAAAATCATTTACTTCTGTTAATTAACAGCCCAGTAACCCTCCAACAGATGATCTCTTAAACCTGTCTCGTTGAAATGGTAAGTTGAATGCTCTACTGCACTGTGCTTGTGTGTCTGTAACAGAGTTAAACTTTTGCACGTGGGGCTGTTTGTCAGTACTGCAGCCCACCTGTACATATTTATTATGCCAGTTACACTTTACTTCAAGGTGTCATTGTTAGTGTAATTATATATTTAAGTAGCCTACTGAGTAATATTAACTAACACCTTGTACTTACTAGGGTTAGGGGAGGATTAGGGTTTGATGCATGTAATTATGCATACTGTTATTACTACGGTAAGTGCGCTACATTATGCAACAAAGACACTGTAAATACCATAATGCCTTATGCACTATTTTATATATTTATTAAGCATGTCATGATAGCCTATAATGCTTAGAACAGCTTCTTTCATTACAATATTTATTTTTAAACTTTGATAGCTAGAATGTACAGGATTAGCTAATCTGTTAAAGTTATGGTTGGTTTGCTTAAAAAATTAAATTTTCATCTTTACTCTCTTTTACTTTCCTAAACCTGTTCGACCTGATTCTTTGAAGCACACAACTGTTGTAAAAGTATATTTTCTTTAATAATATACAATGTTTGCTAATAGCTAAGTTACGTTATTTTAACGTGCATGTCAGATGAAAAAAAAAAAATTGAACCTTCCTGTGGCTTCCTCCCTGGCGCCAGTCTGTCCGGATCTCTGTCCTTTTGCCTTCTCTAAACACTCTCTCTCTCTCTCTCTCTCTCTCTCTCTCTCTCTCTCTCTCTCTCTCTCTCTCTCTCTCTCTCTCTCTCTCTCTCTCTCTCTCTCTCTCAAACACAATCTTTTGCAGGTGTTTCGGGCATGGAGCAAAAACAGGGGCTTTTTGTGTTTTTTGTCCCGTGTCATTCGCCTGGATTTCGTCTTGAATGACAAAGGACTTCCCTCAAACGGACATAAAAAGTTTCTGGGTTAGTTATATACGGACTTTCATATTCTTTCTTCCAAAGGAAGATTAAAAAAGACTGGAGATATTTTAAAGGAAACCCGCAATTAAGCAAACAATCTCAAAAAGCATTTTTTTTGTTGTTGTTGCTTCTATGTTATCACGATGAAGCGCGAAACGAGCGCGCATTTTAACAGCTCCAATCCAGTTCGTCAAACGACTCTGTAAAAATGTACTTTTTGTTCCCTCTTTCTGCTGAAAATGTGATGTTTATAATATTACAGAATTTTTTATAACAAAAACGTAAATGGCACTTTTCTACTGTATATAGTTAAATCAGAAGTAAGAATTCAGTCTCCTTGTCTCGGTTATTGATGTATTGTTTTTGTTGTTTATCATTTTTGCAAATGCATAAAGCGTATTAACTTATTACCGTTCACTGGCTGTGTGTGACGCTCCTCTCTTGTCATTTAGTTTGTAATGTAAAGACTACACGGTTCAAATTATAAGGGTTTTGGGAGGGTGGGAGGTGCATCAATAAATAAATAACTATACTGTCATTAATGATCAATGTACTGTATAACACTTCTTATGTTATTCAAAATGTTTGTCTAACAGCTCTAGGGGCACATGAAACAATTAGATTGTGTAAGACGAATCTTACCTCGAAAATTGATGCAAATTCCTTCAAAAAGTCAACCTCTGAGTCATCACAAAGGCCACTTGCTAGTGTTCAGGGTGTGGGATATAATTGTAATGCGTGAACTACTGGTGCCACCCATCTGTAATTCAGAGTACTAAAATAAGTTTGCTCTTAGCAAATCATCTCGTGGGAACACAATTCTGCACTGTAGAATCTTTATTTCAGTACTTTCAAACAAAATCTCAAGAAACATGGTTGCCGTCAATGCAGGTTTATTTAATTTCACGTTGAAGGCAATCACAAAACACATTTTAGTTTTCAAGATGCCTGCCAATTGTACATTTAACCGCTAAGTCTAACATCACGTCATGCAGTTTCTACTGGCTAACTGTATTACTGCAGTCTGTCTGACACATGCTTGTCATTGCTTACTACTGTAACTACTGCAGTCTGACACATGCTTGTCACTGCTTATATACTACTGTAACTACAGCACAATCACAGCGTGCAGGACAACTCAATACAACACATTTTCAAGCCACACCCGATGCTCATATACATACTTTTAATGGATTTTACACTAAGTTAAGGTAGCTTTCTTATGACAAGGTACTACAGTATTTTCCATTACTGATTATTTTCCAACAGCGGTGATTCCAAAATGCGTTATAGTCATTCAACTGGAGACATCAATACGTGATTAAGCTAATAATACTGTTTGGAAACTACAGGTATACAGAACAATACAGAATATATAAACAATACTGAACTATAACAAGGTAGATGATGAGTGGGTGATGGTCTGATGTGAATAAAATCCACTTCAACTATCCTTCACATTAAAAAAAGGTCACAATAACCACTGTGACACATATTTAAGCACTACACCAAACATGCGTTGACACCACAAAACATCAACCAGATAAGACCAGACAGCAATAGATCCAGACGTCACCTACAGGATACTTTCTCGCTCTTCTCCGAAGGTGACTGTTTCAGAGGACACTTTAAGGATCTCAGGAGGATCTCCAGGGTTAAGTCCCCTCTTCAGATGCACCACACGGATGTTTTCATTTTGGGTAGTGGTGGAGGTGGTGCTGGATCCCGGAGTTATGATGACATCACTTCCAGTGGTCATGGAGGTGGTGTTGGAGCTATCTCTGGGCTGGTGAACATTGTTTCCTTGTTGGGCGTTTGTGTTGTTGTTGAGGGTGGTGTTGCTGGGTGTACGGTTGAGGTTATAACTTTTGGAGGAAGGCCAGCTCTCTTCGGGGCTGCTGGCCAGAAGACTGCACTGGTCCTCTGAGCAGATGGACATGCGGGCGATTGCTGGGTCTTGGAGGCCACTCAGACAACTCGGCAGCCCTCGCTTTGGGGTCGAGTTCTCCTCGTCTAGCTCAATCAGATTAGCCCTCTCAGACTGTGACAGATCGGCCTCTTCGTCTTGCAGGGAATGGTTGGGCGAGCTTTCATTGGAGCGGACGCCCGAGTCAGAAGAATCCTTCTTATCTGAAAGGTAATCCTTACCTTTGGATAGAGATCGATCTTCAGCACTGGAGGCATTAGGCTCAGGTTTCTTTCCATCCTTGAGCAGAGGGGCATTGTCTGACTCTTCAGACTCTTCGTCATCACTAGTAAGTTTCTGGTAGCGTAAACCACCGCCAGCCTTCAGCTTCAGATCAGCACCCTGGAAGAGGCTCACCTTCTCTCCAGATGTCTTGCGTCCCAGAAGGGACTTTGATGACCCATGGTCAACCTTCTCATCCTCTTCTGTTATGGGATCTAAAGTGGCCGTATCTGGCGAGGCGTAGTCGGTACTATCGGTCGTGGACTTGCTGCTCCCTCGTTTTGAAATGGATTTGCGCGAATCCTGGTCACCTCCATCCTTCTTCTTGTCCTCAGAGATGGAATGCATTAGCTGGGTAACAAAAGGTGGCACGGGCTTCTCCATTCCTACCTCAATCTGAGCCATGGAGGCAATGTATTCCTCGTAGGCATTGCGATACTCTGCCTGCTGCTTGTCTGTTAGCTTGCAAATTTCATTGGAGGACTCCTGAGAGTTGAGGCTGGACATGCTAGGAGTACGATGAGTTGTGGCCTACAGAAGACAAGAGATGTCTTTTAGACGAATATCTAAAATGTAATGGCTTGAAAAAAGGATCGCGAGAACCTGATAAGAAACGCTTACCATCCATGTAGGGTTGGCTTGTCTAGGAGGCTCCTCTAAACCCACATTACTGAGCTCCTCAAAGCTGAGGTTAAAGTTGTACATGGGTGAGGTGTCCGTGTTACCAGTTCCTCCGAGAGCGGATGCTCCAGTGTGCCTGCAAGGTTCCACATGGCCAACAGTGCTGCTGCCTTGCTCACTTGGAGCCTCCTCATGCAGGATCTGGCTCTCCACAAGACGGAGCTCCAACACCTGCAAAACATCAACTTCATTACACCTGTATCTAGGGCCAGTGTGAGAGTGTATGAGGCTAATTAACTGTACTGTACTATATCTTACATTTCTTGATCATGTACACCTCGCAAGCTTAAAAGTTTAGTTTTGTCTGAGATTTACTTGTGAATTCTGCTAGGCAAAATAACTGAACTGAATAACATGGATGAGGTTTTGTTAAATTCCCAATAGGGATGCACCGATACCGATACCGGTATCTGGTATCGGCCTCGATACCACATTTTCTAAAGTACTCGTACTCGTTAAAAGTCCCCCGATACCGGGGACCGATACCATGTTCTGAGAAATGGGTTAATCACAGGCGCCGAGTGCCCACCCCCAGGCTCCGGCTGCAGCTCAGAGCGGGGAGATGGGGAGACGTGTCAGCACTGTGGAACAGTGATGCGCGGGTCAATGTATAAACAACCCGCACACTACCAACGTTTTCAACTACCTGCCCGCTACTCGGACCGCAAAAAAAGTAAGAAAATATTGTACCCGACCCTCTTCCTGACCGTATTTTTTAAAAGTAGTACATGCTCATCGTAGCGTCATTGGGCCATAAACGTGTAACAACACAGCATCGCAAGAAGACGTAGCCTACATATAACAAAGGCAGCACTTTGGTCATCATCTTTCATTATTTCGGTAAATGTCTCCCACACTTACTCTTTCTATTTGTGTATTTGCGGAGCTTCCACTCCCCAGTCTTCACCTTTTCTCTTGCCGCCTCCATCTCTCTGCAGACTAGTGATCATAGACATGGCCGGTTCGTGAACGAATCGGTTCTTTTTAATGAACCGGTCGAACCAGTACGCTAAATCGAACTGAATCATTCGCATCAGTTCACGTCTTGCGTCAGTGCTGATCCACAAGTTACTACAGTTACTCACTTTCAGACATGCCTGACAGTCCCTCCGAGTTGAAATAAACCAATATCCCGAATTATATTTTACTCCAGTAACTCCAACAGTTCACTGAACTGAGACATGTTGTTGATACTGCTGATACTGCGCATCCGCGTAGTAACGAACGCAGAGGTACAGCGGTTCTCGGATCACACCAGTACAGAACTGAGAACTGTTTAGACTGAGCTTGTGTGTCATCTTCGTGCCAGTTATTCAGCCAATAAATAAATTCGGCCTATATATTTCATAGAAAATTCTATCTAGTACTATATAAATACAAAGGTTTAATTGGCATTTTTTTCCAAACGACCTGACCGACCGCGACCCGAATATCATTAAAAATATTTTTGGATGACCCGTAACTGCGGGTACCCAGGCACCCGCTCATTTTGGATCAACCCGTGCATCACTGGTGTGGAACAATTTCAAAGTGAATGGCTTTGGATTAGGAGAATAAGTTTACTTGTAGTCGCCAAGTTACTTATAGTCAGTTGAATGTCTGTTGGGGGACCAAATAAATAAAGTGTTATCAGATATTAAGCTGATCGTACTAATACTCTAGTCTACTAATACTCTAATGACAGTTAGTTGACATGTAATTGAAAAGTTACTTATAGTTAGTAAAGTGGACTATCGAAATAAAGTGTTACCCAAGTAATTTAATCAAGGACCTAAAAACCCGTATATAAAAAATATTTAAATCATGTTTTTTTTGTTTTTTTATTAAGTACTCGGTATCGGTATCGGCGAGTACTGAAATGCAAGTACTCGTACTCGTACTCGTTTTCCAAAAAAGTGGTATCGGTGCATCCCTAATTCCCAAGAATGATGTGTGATTGTCTAAGGAGCATTAGTAAGAATGGTTTCAAAATGGCAAGCCAATCTATAATGGTCAACCATGGGTGCCATCTTTTTCAAGCAAAATGGTTCATGAACTTTAGCTAACGTTTAGCTATCCCGTTTCAAGCTATTGCATTTTTTTGTAGAAGAAAACCTTTGGTGAAAAAAATGTAAGTTATGTGTGTTACAAATGTATAATAATAAATACATATAAAATAACTAAATCTTATACAATTAAAATGATACATTTTGCATTTATAATAAGCAATTACATTTCTACTCCTGCAGGGCCAATGAAAATGTTGCCAAGGCATATAGAAATCTGAAGTTCTGTTTATATACATCAGAGAAAACTACTCACCGTTGTCCTGAAAAGCTGCCAATCTCCAAAATTCATGTTCATCTCTTTCTTCAGCTCATCAATGTTACATTGAGACAGAACTCGGCCATTTATGTTAGCCTGAAAAATCACAAAATCAGAATGTAAAGCAAAACAAGATATTTTCTTCTCAATGTCCACTTTTTCTTCTTCACAAATACACACCTTCTTAATAGTGGCTGTATACTGAGGAAGCAGGTTCTGGTCGATGCCGTCGATAAGTCTGACACGCTCACAGACAACATCTGTGTTCATTGAGCTGAGCAGCATTGATGGGGTGCCTGAGACCACCGAGGCAGAGCCCTGATACACACGACAGAACTATTAGTACCACTCAACTACATCACAACAGTGTGCATATGAAAGATCTCTGAAGCCTTCAGTCTGCTAAACCATGCAGATTTTTAGAAAGGGGTTGCAAAAGGTCTTGAATTAAAATTCAAAGAAGAGAGGGATCAAAAAAAGGTACTGCAGAGGAAATTATTCAATGCATTTTGTATGTATTGCTGCCAGCAGGATTTCAAAGACGCTAGTGGAAATCTAGAGTGATAAGATGG